TTTGATTTGAAACTGTCTCATTGCTATTGGGGAGGAGGGAGGGGGGAGGGGGAGAGAAGGGGAGGGGAAATAGAAGAGGGGGAGGGGGAGGGGAGGTTTGAATGTGGTGGTGAACATCTGCAGGCTATAGCTCCAGATCTTACTGCTCTGTCGGCTAAAACAGGAAAATCATAAATTCAAGCCCAGTCTGGGTGATTTAGCAACTTAATGAGATCTTGTCTCTCAATAAATTTTTATTTATTTATTTATTTATTTATTTATTGGCAGAACTGGGGATTGAACTCAGACCCTTGCACTTGCCAAGAAAGTGCTTATTCTACTGAGCCATCTCCCCAGCCCCTCAGAATAAATTTTTAAAAGGGCTGGGAAGCTCACGGTGAGGGCTCTGGGTTCAATGCCCAATACAAGAAGGAAGGAAGGGGAAGGGAAGGGAAGGGAAGGGAAGGAGGGAAAAAGGGAGTGACCCGGGCAGAGAGGAGGTCATAAGTGTGTGCTGGGAGCCCAGGTAGAAGGCAGCAGAACCCAAGGACCTAGGACAAGCAGACTGTCTGAACTGTGCCGGCTCAGAGATGGGGTTGTCCTGACTGCTGAGGGTACCCGCAAGCAGGCATCCACTCATTCAAAGTGAATGCACTCAGAAACAGGGAGGCTGAGGAGGAACCAAGCTGGGATGTCAGACCAGCAGGCCACCTACATAGCGAAGAAGCCACAGGGAGCACAGAGGGACTGGGACCAGGAGACAGAAGACTGAGGTGCCTATGTCCACAGTGAGCTCACAAAGGAAGGCCTCGAGAGATGAAGGGTGCGGTCATGAGGAAGAGAAAGAGCAGTCTCTGCCAAGCAAGGAAAACCTTGGACTGCAGGGCTCCGGAAGGCCACACCAAGATGGAGGTAAAGTTACCATGCTTTTACTTGATCCCCACCATAGACTCCCAAGTCCTGGGGTATAGCTACAAGAAAGCGCCACATGATGGGGGAGAAAGGCATTTGCTAATGAACTTGGGATTCAGTTTAGAATGAAAGAAAATTCCTACCACAGCCCCCACACTAAATCTCAGTCCCCAGGACAGGGTGATGGGATCAAAAGAGGGACAGGCTACATGTGGAGACCCCTCAGTATCTTCAGGCTATGGGCAGGCTGGCTGTGGTTGAGGTGTCCCACCAGAGTGGCACCCAGAATTTGATCTGGATGTGAATGGCTGAGCGGGGCCCCTTGGCCTCTTGTTCACAGCCCACCGGCACAAATGCATGAGGAGAGGGAAGGCCACAAGAGCCTGGCCGGTGGCCCTAAATGTTTCCAGAGAGAAAAGGCTAGAAACCCTTTTCTTTTTTGCGGAACCAGGGATTCAACTTGAGTCCTTGCTCTTGCAAAGCAAGCATTTATTCTACTGAGCCATCTACCCGACCCCTAGAAGTCCTTTTCTAAAGAGCCCAGGCTCAGGAGATAGTTTAGGAGAGCAGCAGAGAAGACGGATGCCCAGTTCAAGGTTCCTAAATGTCCCCCTCATAGCTGTGCACACACGTACACACACACCCATCGAGCACGCATTAGGGACAAGTGGCCTGGGAACAGTGGCCTCCAAGCCGTCAGCTGGGCCCAAGTCCCAAGGCTCTGCCTCCACCCCACCCAAGTCCCATGTCCCTCTGAAGTTCATCCTGCACCTCCCCCAGATCCATCCACCAAAACCTTTTATGGGGTAGCTTCTGCCATTGCTTTTACCACCAGCTTTAAATACCAGAAAAGAGACAAATTACACATTTCTCAGAAATTGGAATTTTATAAAAAGGCATTTTTCTTTTATATCCATAAAATGATATAATTTTTGCAAGTATAGAAATGTGTCATAAATTATACAGAATGTTCCTTAATTACAGCTCAACACAACTTGGTACTTTCATCCCTCCCTAAAAAATGAGAGAGAACCAAAAAAATAATATATATAACTGTATATATATATTTATATATTTATATAATATAGACAAACCAAATATGAAAAAAAAATCATTTCCTCTTTGGTATAAAAATCAGACTCTCACCTTGAGAGACACACAGACAAGACACAATACTCAGTTTGTAAACTGTGGCCAAAAGGGGGTTTCCCTGCCAAGACTTCCCTATCCCCAACCTGCCCGTGCCAGCCCCACCCCCTGGCCACTCCAGCTCCTCTGGGGCTCCTCTGCACCCACTGACCAGTGAAGGTCCATGCACCAAGTCCCAGCTCCCCCACCCCAACTACCAAAGAAGAGGAAAGGAGTCTTCCCCAGGCTGATTAGGTAGCAGCTATGTTGGGGTGTGGGTGAAAGGACAGGCTGTGACCAGCTCTGAGGGAGCCGTCCTGACTGAGCCGGGCACCGAGCACTCTCCAGCCTCCACCCAGTTCTGCCCTTCTCCTCCTCTTCCTCAACCCTGAACATGGACCCCAGCTCCTCCCAGGCGCTGGGCCCTGAGGGTGGGACCTCGTCCCTGGGGAGAACCGTGTAGAGCAGCAGCTTCCCGTCAGCCCCCCTCAGAGGCTCAACTTCCTGTCCTGCTCCTCTACCTCAGGGTCCTGGGGCTTAGGTACAAGAAAGTGCCACATGAGGGGAGAAGGGAATTTGCTAAACAACTTGGGATTCAGTTCAAAATGAAAGAAATTCTCCCCCTACCCCACTAAATCCCACTCACTGAGAATGACGGCCACTTTTCCAGGCTCCAGCCCAGTACCAGCAGGACTTGTGGAATCCAGGATATGTGTGCGCTGGGGGAAGGAACACTTCACTCTCAAGGTGAGGGCAAGGACCGAATCCTCCTGTGTCCTCTCCCTCCACCCTTGAGCTGACAGCACCTCCCTCACTGGTAACCTCTCTGTCCTACAAGAGAACCACACCACCAGGTAGGGCTCTCAGTGGGTGCCAGTCTCCTCTTCCCAGAAGAGTTAAGACACATCAACCTAACAGAAAAGTCAATAAAATTCTCCTCCATCTGCTAGGAAAAAAAAAAAAAAAAAAAAAAAAAAGGATAAAACCAAACTGGATACAAACACAAATCAAGGAGACAGACACAACGTGAGGGGCCCAGAGGCCCCAGCAGGTCTCTGGCTTCCCGGCATGTTACATTCTTGTGTAATTCAGGAACAGGGGCTGAAGGGCCCCACTGGGGAATGGGAGTAAAAAAATGAGATTAGAGTCTCCCTGTGGGCTCCCCGGCAAGGCAGGGGCAGACGCAATCTCTCACAGTTTTCCTCATCTGTAGTTCCACAGCTGGTCCCCACGGGGCTTCATCCCCACACCTGAGCCCCTGCCCTGCCTAGGCCACCCCCACCCCCACTTGGGCAGGGCCAGCAGGGCCAGAGCTTCCCTGAAGGCAGGGCAGGCAAGCAATGAGGACAGTAGTTCTCAGAGCTGTCCCTTGGGGCCCAACAGCCTGTACGCTGCGCCACCACCACAGGGCATCCCAGTCCGGGTCTTCACCCCTTCAGGGGCTTCTCAGCTCCCCCGCCAGGACTGCTGGCACTGTCACTCTTTTTCCTGCGCAGGCTCTCGATCCAGCTGGAGCTGGAGCGTGTGGTGAAGCTGGAGAGTGCCAGGGAGCTGAGTCGCATGTTCTTGCCGGACATAATGAGCTCCCCAAAGCCTTCCTGATGGGAGAAGGCATAGCCCGAGCGCCGGGACCCCGTGCGGCCCACCCGGCGCATACATCGGTGCTGAGCTTTCTGCTTCTTCCTCACCAACTGGGTGTAGCGGACCTAGGGTTGGGTAGGGAAGGGGACACCATCAGCATGACTGTGAGCCACTGCCATGGACAAGACCCAGAGACCACCACTGACACCGAGCGGTTGCGAAACAGCTCAGAAACAGCCGCAGGAAAGCTCAAAGCAGAGCCTCTCCCCTCATCTGGGTCCCCAGCATGGACAGCCCAGTCCCTCACCGTGTCAGAGAGATCTGGCTTCAGGTTGAGCCTGAGGAACCGGAAGGCAACCACAGGCATGATGCAGACGACCGTGGTGAGGACAATGGTGAGCCACACTGTGGGCTGGGCCAGCGTGTTCTGGGCATTCCCTAGGGGTAAACAGGAGTCAGTGGCCCCAAGAATTCCCAGGTGGCTGGGGCGGTAGCCCCCTCACTTCCTGAGTTTCCTCTCTGACAGTTCCACTTCCCCAAGCTCAAAATCTAAGACAGCTCTGGCTTCCCTCTTCTTGCAAAACTCTGAAATATTCTACATCTAAATCTGTCTCTAGCCCAAAACTTTCACCTGTAGCACAGAGCAGCTTTCTTAACTCCCTTAGTTGACATCCTCTTCACTCAACCTCCGTCTGTCTCCCAGCTCTCTGCCTCACACCACATCTAACACGTTGGCTCCTTTTCACAGTATGTAGGGAACCCCACTGTCTTTCACTGTGTTCCAGGCCACCCTAACTCCCACCTGGGTTACTCAGTAGCTTCCTAACTCTCTGCCCCCATACTTTACTTTTTATGTATGCTGTGACGGAACCCTGGGCCACACACATACTAGGCAAGCCCTCCACCACTAAGCTGCACACCCAGCCTCAGAAGTTTTTCACAGGAGGTACGGTTCCAGACATTCTATTTGTTCACTTGCAAAGCACCTCTCGCACAGAAATCCAGGAGGAAGCAGTGTGCCTGTTGTCAGTGCTGCCTCCCCAGCATCCACAAGAATGGGCAACACCCGGTAGGTGCTGACAGGACACCCAGCAGCAAACACCAAGGCCTGCAGAGGCCCTAGTCACCTCCTACTCCCTGGGCAAACCCTCCCTGGCACCTGCCATGGCTGCCCCAGTACCAGTTCTGAACAGCCTCACATTCAGCACAGAGCTTCCTTACTGACCATCCTGGCAACCTTCACCTTTCTAATGCAATCTTTCCCCCTCTTCCCCTACATAAATGACTTCCAGCAAGCCCACACCAAACTTGGCAGCCTGCCACTGCAGTCCATAAGCCTGCCTTCCTAGCTGCTCGCTGCTGCTCAGGGCAGCTCTTGTCTCACCCCGCCGGAACACGGTCCGCTCTCTAGAACCAGTGGCCTCTCCACACTCCTGGCTCCTCCAGACTAGTCCTGACCACCCCACTGCCAGTGTCCCTGCCAACTACAAAGCCATCCTGACCCACCACAGCCTCACCATCCTCACAGATAAGGAGGCTGGTCAGCGGCACCTCGACACGGCACGCATAGTGCGGAGTTCCTGGCATATAAGTGCTGCTAAGCGCTCATGACTTGTGCACTGGGTGACCATCCTGCCAGTCCTAGAACATCTGTAACTCCTCACTCATTCATAAAAAAGCCACAGGCCCTCACCTACAAACCGGAACTGGTTCGGAAACATGTCAAAGAGCCCGTTGCTGTGCATGGTAAAGAGGATGGCAAAGTAAACTGCAAGGCTGCCCCAGATGAAGAAGTGGTTGATGGCCGTCCAGTAGCCTGTATCTAGCCCGATCTGTAGAGAGCAGGGGCTGTCATAGGAGGGCTCCCAACCACCCCTCCAAAAGCAGGACTGCAATGCGCCCTCCTCGACTGCTCTGGGACTACCTCGTACCTGCACGCTGACCACAATGACCAGTGACGTGGCCACAGTGACCGCAAAGGACTGATAGTCGGCCAGCTGGGTGCCATCATCCCGAGTGGCCTCCGCAAACACCCCGTAAGGGATGAAGAACATGAGTACAGATGTATAGATGCCCTGGGCGATGCAAATGAAGAACTCCCGCTTGTTGAAGAGGAGGTTCAGCTGGCCTGGCTCATATAGCTTTGGGTACTCCATGCTCCGCTGCTCGGGGACATCCTATGTGGGGAAGCCACGTGGCAAAGGAGACTTCAGGCCAGCTGTGCCCATGTGACACAGCTCTTAGACAGGCTTTGTCCCGCAACCTAGGCGAGTTACAGGCCAGCTGCCTCCCCACCGCCCCAGCTGAGGAGCTGCCCTTGCGGTACCCTCAGTAGATGCAAGCATCACAAACCCCCTTCAATAGTGGGATACACTGTCACAGCAGTGCTCCTCCCATCCTGCCTGAGTACCAAACTCTCCATACCTGATCAAAGACCCCCATAGCCAGGACTGGAAGGGAGGTGTATACAATGTTATAGAGGGTGATAAAATACTGGTCGTACACAGTCTGGAAGAGAATGGGATAAAAGTCAGTAGCCTTCCTTGCCTATAAATCCATCATGGGAAGACAGTGAATGCAACATCCAGGGAGCTCTATGAGATTTTCTCAAGCTTTCTCTCAACTCTTTTCAACAAACATTTCATTCATTCATTCATTTATTTATTTATTAATTTATTTAGCAGAACCGGAGATTGAACTCAGACCCTTGTGCTTGCTAAGGAAGCACTTATTCCACTGAGCCACCTCCTGGACCCCCATCAAATATTTCTTTTAGTGCAAGCACCAGACAACAGGATTGGGCAATGAAGAGAACAGACACGATCTCTGCCCTCAGGGAATTCATGCACAACACACCACAAGAGATGGGAGCACATACTACCTGGGCTGAGAAGCCGCAGAAGAAGCCAAACCAGAAGTGGACCATAGTGAAGGCGAAGTTCTTGTAGAAGAAATAGCAGAGGAACTTGCACATGCGCAGGTAGGACCAGCGCCCATGCACCAGCAGGAGGCGCTGCAGGAACTTGAACTGAGAGAAGGAGTAATCGGAGGCCAGGACAGCCTGGATCCCCTCCTGCCCGCTGATGCCCACACCAATGTGAGCCGCTAAGACAAGAGATGACAGGAAAGTGAAGACAATGCCACACTGCAGATTTTCCATGTGACAGCCCCCTCCCACCACCCTTCTCCAGCCCAAGACCTCAGGGGGCTCCACCAGCGCCTGTCCATCTGCCCACACACCTACACGGGCCACACTCACTTTTGATCATGCTGACATCATTGGCTCCATCCCCAATGGCAAGTGTCACAGCCTTCTTGTACTTCTTCACCAGCTCCACCACCTGCGCCTTTTGCAAGGGTGTCACCCGACAGCAGATGACAGCTTTGCAGGCACAGGCTGTTTCCAGAAACTCCAGCTCCATGTCTGCCTCCAACGCATGGGCCTGGAACACAGGGAGGCCTAAGAGAGGCACAGTTGTCCCCAGAGGAGCCTGGAGCCTCAGCTCTGCACTGCCCCCTCGACGACCACAGCCCCCTCTGTAGGAAACTAGAATGAGAATAAGGTAAGACAAAAAGTCTACTGAGGGGCCGGGGGCGATGGCTCAGGATAAGTGCTTGACTGGCAAACGCAAGGATCTGAGTTCAATCCCTGGTTCCGCCAAAAAAAAAAAAAGTCCTACTGAGAGAAGGGCTCTAGGCGGCACTTACCAGGCTGTGACCATTGATGACGAGGGCATACTCCCCAGCCACAGCCTCCAGGACAGAAGCCAGCTTGGAAGAAGACAGTTTCTCCTGGTAGGAGAAGCCGTTGCCCACAGCACAGGAGGAGTCCATCATCTTTTCCCGGGCTTTCCTGTGAAGGCAAAGTGTGATGGTGCTGTCTTTCAGGCCAGCCCCAGGAATCAGGATCCAAGCCTGCCCAACCCCAGGCACATGTCTCCCTCAGGCTCGGTTTACCTGAGTTCTTCTCGCACCTCCAGGACCGTGTGGCCAGTGACTACGAACACCTCGGTCATGTCGTCCGTCAGCATCTTGCAGGAGTAGCCAATGTTCACAGCCGTCTCTACCAGGAAGAGAAAGCAGGGGTTAGGCAGGCATCCGGCAAGGTCAGAGTGCTCTCCTGCGTGGAGGCTATGGCTCCATGCAAGGGCTGGCAGGACCACTCTCTGGCACAGTTCCCTCTGCTCTGCCAGCTTCTCACCTTGCTTGTCTCCAGTTAGCACCCAGATCTTGATGTTGGCCAGGGTGAGGAGGGCAATGGTCTCTGGAACCCCCTGCTGAAGCTTGTCCTCAATGGCTGTCGCACCCAGCAGCTAAAAATTCCACAAAGGCACTTTCCTGGCATAGGAGAGACAGGCACAAGCCTTTCTAGCCCCCTGCAGCCTGACCTGAGCTCTTACCATCATGTCGCTCTCCACCTCCTCATAGATGCTGGCCAGCCTATCTTCTGGGCTGTCCTGAGCCAGGCTGGCCTGCAGTCGTCTCTCGGCCCATTCCTCGTAATACTCTTCATCTAGATCCTTATAGGCCAGGACCAGGGTCCTCAGCCCTTCCCCTGCATACTCCTGGAGGTAGAGTTCGGAAAGTTACACCCCAGCATGTCTAGGGAGCTAACAATGCATGGCATGAAATTTTCTAGGTATTCTAAACACATACACGCACACACAAAAGTAGGTTGCTTGTGGTGCTACATACCAGCAATCCCAGCACTGTGGAAGGCTGAGGCAGGAGAATCACAAGTTGGAGCCCAACCTGGGTAACTAAACATCTTACAAAAACCCTGTCTCAATTTTTTTTTTTTGCGGAACCGAGAATTGAACTCAGGCCCTTGCACTTGCCAGGGAAGCACTTATTCTATGGAGCCATCTCCCCTGCCCTGTCTCAAAATTTAA